AAAAAAAAAAAAAACATATTAAAGTTGGGAGTCAAAAATACTGAAATATGCAACTTAATTTATAAAAGAACTGAAGTTAAACTGGTAAAATGGCCCCTACAAAGTAGTGAAGTTTATGACATAATATAAAGATCATAATTAAGCAAATAGGGAAAAAAATCATGATAATAAACAAGGAAAAATAGTGATAATGTATATAGGTATGTTGCCGGAATATGACTAGAAAAGCATAAAGTATAAGAACACTTACTATATTTAGTAGAGAACTTGATGTTGTTGCAAGATAAACTCTCACCTGAAAATGAAACTTGTTTTCAGTCACTACAAAACGTAAAATTATGAAATTAGAGGAGAAAATGGATTTAAATTATATAAGTTAAATAAAATAGATAAAGGTGAGGAAATAAGAGGAAGACAGTAAACTAACATTAAACCAACTCAAATATTAAGGAGACAAAGTAAAATATTTCTTGACTACCTTAATGTGCTGGGCAGAATATGATAAATTGAGAAAGGAAGATGAGCTGAAGATGGGAGGGAAGATGGATGCGTGGTTTGAGAAGGAAGATTGAAATGTAAAACTGGCTGGGTATGTGATTTGTATATTGAAATGGACTTTCAGCAACATGCAGCATATTGCTGAAAACATTAACAAAAACTAATTTCATTGTGTCCCTGGACTATTGTTTTTGGTCCAAATATATCCATCAACTTTAAAGAATAAACAAACTACCATTGAACTTTATTTTTTTATACCAATTTAGTCCTTTCGTTTGTTAACTGACGATGTGGCAGTGTTTTCCATGAACTAATAAAATTTTTAAAACTTTTCAGTGTTAAGGGGAAACTTACATAGTTGAAGTGCACAAATTTTTTGGGGCAAGTGATACACATTAACTAATTAACATGATGAAGTTTGAGGTTACTTTTTAATACATTTTCAATTTTAAGGATATATTTGGTTACAAAAAGAAAGTTGAAGGACTAGATTGGATTTTTAACTTACTTTAAAATATATTTGGTTAAAAATAGAAAGTTGAAGGACCATATTAGATTTTTAACTTACTTATTTCAACATTCACATGGGGAATATGCTTCAGGACTTTTAGCAACATGCAATAAGTTGCTGAAAGTTGCAATAAGCTGTTCAATTCAGAACCGATGGACGGGATGGCAGAGTCGGTGAGATTCTCTGAAAGTTGCAATAAGTTGTTCAATTCAGAATCGATGGACGAGATGGTAGAATTAGTGAATTCTTTGAAAGTTGCAATAAGTTGTTCAATTCAAAACCGATGGACGGGATGGCAGAGTTGGTGAGGTTCTCTGACATCAAATTGCAGCAAGTAGCAAAGAAAATGCAGTGTTAAATCGTGTCAATAATAAAGTTCATATTAATTAGTGTTAATTCATTTGAATATACTATTTATAATATAAATCAATTAATATATCTAATAGAATCAACTTAAGTGGTAATATAAACTATTAAAATAACAAATTTATAAATATAAATCACACTATTATGTACCATTCATATATAATTTAACAAAAGTAGGAATATGAATAACATTAAATATTATTTTAATTATTATGGATAATTAACAATAATTTAATAAGATAAAAATAAATGATGAATTTACTATAATTTAAATGATAATAAAATCAATTAAATGAATTTTAGTATAATTAAATGTGATAATTTAAAATCATAATATAAAGGAAAAATACGAAAAAAAAAAAACCCTAAACTTGGTTGAAGAAACATATATAAAATTATATACTCCGCCTTTTCAAACAAAAAAATTTTTTTTTAAAAAAAGTTAAATATCTTTTTTATCACTTGAGAAAAAAGTCCATTTTTAGTTTTTTTTTATTGAAAATATCTCTTTTTTTATCTTTAAAATTTAAAATTCAACCCTTTTTTATCCATCAATTAAATTTTAATTAATGTAAAAGATTAACTAATGAAAAAACTTATTTTTTTACTTAAATTACGTGGATAAATTCATTTGGTAAAATTTTTTGTTTAATATATCTTTAAAAATGAT